TTTTTTTTTTTAATCCGCTTCAAATGTTGACTGCTGTATTATATTTTTTCGAAAAAGTTTTTAATGTATTTTGGTTAGTTATTTAAATTTTCCTTGATTTTATTCGTTTTATTGATGATATGCTTTAGTAAAATTATATTTTAGTTATTTATGTAATTTTTAAATAATGTACACTTATACATATATTTTTTTGAAAATGTATTTTATATATTTAAATTTTATCTTTTTTAAATTATACCTAATTTTGTTTAATTTTATTTATCTGTTTTGTTTACATTTTTTATAGACACGTCAGTTATTTTTTTACAGTTTTAATTATCCTCATTTATATTTTATATAATTTTTTTAATTTAATTTTTATTTGAATTATACTTCCATTATTTTATTTTATTTACTTTATTCTAGAGGTCTGCTCTTTTATAACTCCCGCAAGGTTATATTCCGCACCCTCCCACTATATATTAACTCTTTGTTCACCCGCTGTATGCTTGGAGTAGTTTTCTTCCCGACCCGACCGTTCCCGCTAAATTTAGATCTCGTTTCCAGAATCTCACGTTTAAATTTCCGCTACTGAAAGAAAGAGAGAGAGGCTAACATATAAAAGTGTAGTCTGCACAAAATTGCATGTTATTTTATTCGTCTTGTCAAGAGTCTTGAATTTATTGACTTTGACTTGAATTGGTATAAATTATAGTAAGACACAAAATTAGTTTAATATTTTATGCAACACGGTAGGAAAAAAAGTGTCAGAAAATAAAAATGTTGTACAAAAAATATTTATTGTATTCGTCTTGTCATGATACAATTCGTTTAACATTTACAACACAATAGGAAAATGTGTCGCAGAGAGAAAATTAGCTATTTTTATTCGTCTTGTCAAAATACTAAATTCGTTTGACATTTTTCTGTTAACACGGTAGGAAAAGTGTCGCAGAGAAAAATAAATACGACATCTTTCATTTAAAATTATAGGCTAAGCAAAATCTAAACAAAACAGAGTTGAACGTCCTTTAAGGACAGCGCATCCACACTTTGCTCCATCCTTATTCTGCTCCGTCACTCATCCGACAACCTGCCTGTTCTGTCTGAGGGCCGTATATTTACCACCGGTACAGCCTGCTCGGAGTATCGTTATGCTCATGCATAGACCCCGCAAATAAAATGCGTGACGTTAAAGCATGCGTGCATAACAGTCCTGAGCGCAAGCTGAACAAAGCTGGTCAAGAAGAATAAATCGCAGATATGCAGTTCTGAATGGACGTCGGGAACGGGATATTGTTAGACCGCCCGCTCCCATTCACCAGAATTACACGAGTTACCGACCGCTACCGCGTTTTTATTCGGGAATTTAATCCCGCAGCGCAAAAAAATCTGGTCAGTTCCCGTGGGAGAGCCGCAGGAATGCAGACCTCTACTTTATTCATCCCTCCTGCCAATGTACAGTATTTCGTTTAATAGAAATATTTCTATTAAATTGTGAAAATTGACTTGAATTTCTTTTTTTTTTTTTTTCTCTTTTTTTTCTTTTCTCTTTTTGTTAGTAGCAAAAAAAAATGACGTCTGATTTTAAGGTTTATGGCAACACTTGAGGGTTTCATTTCGTCATGACGCATGCAATAGTTTGTACATTTATGAATAAGATAAACACAATTTTGTTATCTTCGCAGGAATGCCTTCAGCGATCTTTCAAAGCCGAGGTCTACACCTGTCCAGCCTGCCGACACGACCTGGGCAAAAACTACCAAATGACGGTGAACAAACCTCTCCAAGCCATCCTCACTCAGCTCTTCCCCGGATACAGCAGCGGCCGGTGTTGACGCTGATGCTGTCGGCACGGCGACGCGGTGCGACAGAATTTCATGAACGAAACAGGGATTTCGTTTTAAAAAAAATTTTTTTTATATGTATTTAACAAATGCATCAGGTTGTAGAATTGATGGAAACACCTCTGCCTTGATTGAACACCGCTACTTGATTTGGCCCTGTTTTGTGATCTGCCTTTATCTAGCCACTTGACTTCTGTACGTTGTAGTTATTTCTTATGAATTGCGATCTTCGTATTTACGAGTAAAGTGATTCTAGTCGTGTTTTAGCTATAGCCGCTTCAAGTGACGTATCGTTGCCGCCTTGTACCCTACACCAGCACAATGAACCATAGCTATGCACAATTACGATGTTCGTTAATTTTTCACTGCAATTTGTCATTACAATGATTTGTACGAAAACGCTGGCTCTAGAATCCCGTTAAAAAGATCTTGTTGCTTCGTAAGTGCGATTGACATTTTTACTGTACCATCGTTAGCGCTAACTGAATTTAATGAACGCTATGTTTGATGTTAACAAGCTTACGTACGAATGCTATTTAGAATGGTTGAGTTTAAGGTGCTGTAGCAGTAGCGTTTTTACCATCGTTAACGAAGAACTATCTATGCACTTACGATGTTCCTTAATTTTTTTGCAAGCAGTAATTTGACGTTGCAATGATTGGTGTGAAAGCGCTGACTCTGGAGTCCTGTTAAAACGATTCAGCGCGTTTGCGTTTTTACTGTACCATCATTAGCGCTAACTAAATTGAAAAGAAATAGCTATGTACTATATACAATGTTTGCGATTCTAATATCCCAACAGGTTTTTCCATTTATTACATTAACAAGCCTTCGTACGAATGTTAATGTCAAATAGTTTATGGTGCTGTAGCAGTAATGTTTTTACTGTACCATTATTAGCGCAAACTAAATTTAAATAAACTAGCTATGCACTACGAGGATGTTTGCGACGTTATCAACTTTTTTTTCACCAGCAGGTTTTTGTCATTTATGACAATGACAAGCCTTCGTACAAATGCTATTAAGATCTGTGAGTTTAAGGTGCCGTAGCTTTACTAGTGCACAAACGTTTTTACGTTTTGGCTTCATTAAATCTTTTATTGTACTGCCGTTATTGGTAACTAATGAAATTGAATTAAAAAAATTATTCATTTTAACCTATTAGTAATTTACGTTAAAAAAAACTCTACATTCGTTGAACTTATCCAGTTTTTTCTCATGCATTTTGATAAGCAACTAAATTTTAATACGCTCTGAAATGAATAGATATTTTTCTGTTTCGTTTATTTGTTTTGCTGTTTAACTGCTGTATGTGCTTTAGAAATGGATTGTCATTTTTCCACTAACTTCTGCCGTTATGCAAACAGTGGTCATGCGCATAAAACTGATCCGCGATCTGCATTTCAGGTGCTGTTTTGAGTCGATCCCAGATCCGGTTTTAAGCGCTCCTGGTCTGCCTTGACTTTTTGAAGGTTTTCAGGATAAATCCTTGAACTGTAAATTGAAATCGCATCATATGACCCCTTTAAAAAGGCGGATAACGCACTCAAGATATTTGTATAGTTAGTAACGACATCTTTTGGGAAGATTTAGTACTTGACTGTCTTAGTAAAAGTAGTTTTAGTCATAGAAAAAATTAATTGATCTAGAAAAGTTGATCCAAAGATCGCAAAGTGATTCACCTTTTCCTGAAACAAATATATATATATATATTTTTAAAACTTTTTAAACAAACGTTTCCCCCAAATTAAAATGTCATCCTAAATAAAATAAAAAAAATGATAGATATTATTTTTGTGTATATATGCTCTATGTTCGTTGAACACAATTCCACGTCGTTTAAATGGAGGGTTTTCTTCTATTTATAACGTATTGTGCGCAAAACTGGTTTAAACCCGGAGGAATGTAGGATATGAAAGGCATATATTTAATATTTCATCAAACGCAGACGTACATACCGGAAGACACACTATTATTACGTGAAATACGTGCTTTCCGTGATAGTAGGAAGCGCAAACACCACGTGTAAGGCCGGTTGAGCTGTCAATCGAGCTCGCCAGCCAATGGGAGTCTACGCTTTGGTTCGATCCAGCCAATCACGGCACACGTCGCGCTGCAGTGGGCGGAGACGCGGCCCAGCGCTGCTGAAACACAACCGAGCCTTTGGAATCCAGAAAACGGATAGAATCGAGAAGAAAACCGCGACAAAAAGAGCAAAAAACGAGCAAGAGCTGGAGGTAACGCGACATATACTATCTCTATAACGCTTTCGGGTCGAGTCCGCGGACACCGGAGGAGTTTTTATTGTTATTTGTGATGCTACAGAGCGGCTGTGTTGATATGCTTGTCAAATCAGGAGCATAAACGCTGCTGGTGAGAAAGATAAGCACACTAAAGCAGCTGCACTCGAATACAGTCGTGCATTTGATAAGTAAGCCAAAGTATGGGACGCATGTGTGTTATTTGAATCGTTTCCCGTATGGTTTTTCATGCATTTCGCTTTAGTAGCCATCATGCATTCTGCTGTAGGCTGCACACATACACAAAGGCCATTTAAACCTCCATCTCTCATGCTGATTGAACTCTAGGAATTAAACGTGCATTTTGCATCGATTGGTCATTTCTTTTTCTTTCATGCGTGGATGCTCTTTATGGTTAAGCTTCAAGCATATTTTTAATATGTAATAAACTACAGCAAGCGAAAGTTAGTGGTAGAAAACTGTCTTAAGCTATGAAGACGCGCCTGAGATGAATTTTGCCTGCAGTTATTGATTATTGCATGCATGCGGAATATTTATGGTAACACAGAGACTTTAGTAATATCTAATTACATTAAATATAAGCGATGCATTTTGCATGTAGCTATTGATTTTTCTAAAGTGAGAAGTTCACCCAAAAATACAAAAATGTAATCACCCTCAGGCCATCCGAGATGTAGATGAGTCTGTTTCTTCATCAGGTTTGGAGAAATGTAGCATTGCATCATTTGCTCACCAATGGCAGTGAACGGGTGCCGTCAGAACGAGAGTCCAAACAGCTGATAAAAACATCACAATAATCCACAGCACTCCAGTCCATCAGTTAACATCTGGAGAAATGAAAAGCTGTGTGTTTGTAAGAAACAATTCCATCAAGATGTTTTTAACAAAAATACGTGTCCATAATCCGTAATAACGCTTCCTCCAGTGAAAAAGTCGTCTGATCTGAATCAGGAGAGAAATCTGCACACAGCTTGTCGTCTTCTCAAGATGTTAACTGATGGAGTGGAGTGCTGTGGATTATTAAGGCCTTTCGCACCGCTTTAGATCCAGAACTAAATGTACGGTACTAAAGTACTGGGGCGATTTTGCGCGAACTATTTCCCAGTACTATTTAAAGGGTTGCATTCGCACCAAGAGTGTGTACTAAGAAGTGACGTAAGCCGGTCGACCGTGACGTCATTTGTGCGCGGCGTTTAACAACAGAAACAAAGAACTACGTTAACAACAGGAGGATGAAGGGCACTGTGATCGGAGCTGTGTTTTTGTTGTGTCTCGCGGGTTTCACAATAATTGACCTAGAATGTCGACGTATCCATAAAGCGATTGAAAGAACGGAAAGGAGGACTAAGAATCTCCAACAACAACTGGCAGTGCTACATTTGCTACAAGTGCCTGCACTTCAGCGTCCGTCCATCTATCGCTGTTCTCCATACTTGCGAAATAAGTTGACACAATGTTTACAGTATGTTTACACGGCGTTTTAAATCATGGCGGGTGAGGGCGTTTTCATACGTGTTTGGCC